TACACAGTTCTAAAAAAGGACTGGGGGCCTTCCTATTGTTTCAGGAGGTGGCGGTGGTGGGAGTAAAAAAATAAATAAATAAATAAAAATAAAAAGGGACTGGGAACTACCATATATGTACTAAGAACTTCTTTAAGTCAATAAGACAATATTTTTAAAAGGGAAAAAGACTTGAATAGGCACCTCACAGATGTCTGTTACTGGCAAAGAAAAACAAAACAAACTGTGAAATGTATGAGCATCTTACCAATGGAAAACTGAGTTTTTCCTAACAAAGGACTTCCAAGGCATTCGTTAACTGGCTCTATAGTAATATTTCTATTATCCGATTAGCTAATAAAGACAAATTAATCATAAGAGAGACAGCTTTCCCTCCCCTTCTTTTCCTCCCTCATTCAACAGAAAAGTATTTTGTGATCTTTAAAAAAAAAAACAAAGGAAATAAGAAGGCAATTAAAATGTTTCACTACAAAAAAAATCAACTAAATACAAAAGGCAGTAATGGAGAAAATGAGGGACAAAGAAGTTATCAGGCACATAGAAAATAAACAGCAAAATAAAAGGAGCCCCTCCTTATTGGTAATTACTTTAAATGTAATTGGATTAAGCAGTCTCATCAAAAGGCAGATTGGCAGAATGGATTAAAAATGTGATCCAATTACACATTGTTTACAAGAGACTCACTTTAGATCCAAAGACACAAATAGGTTGAAAGTGAAAGGACAGAAAAAGATACTCCATTCAAACAGTAACTAGATACTTCATTTTTATATCCTTCAAGTATGCTCCCTAAAATTCTAGTATTTCAACTGTTGTGGTTACCGTTGTTGGTTGTTGAGTTCTATATACATTTAATACTACACATTACTCTAAATCATCATCCCATTGTCAGTTACAGAGCAAAACACAATGCTTACCATGGACTTTTTTGTATTCTTGTAGTACGGGTTCCATCCTATGCTCACCACCATCTTGTGGACATCTCCACTTCCAACACTGGCCCAACCATAATAAATGCCAGTGGATACGTCAGCTGGAAGATTATCTACTACTTGTTCAGGAAAGTTAGCTAAATAACACAAGTAAATATTTTCAGTATTACGAGTTTCATATTAAATATTCACAAAAATCATATGTAAAGCTAATCTAAATCATTACATTCACAAGAATCCTAGAACCTTCCCTATAATTATCAATTTTATTCTTCCATTTTCTGGCTCGGATTTCTTTCTCCTCTTTGTATGGATAGATTAGAAACAAAGTACAAGGTAAGTGCATAAAGCCCCCCAAAAAGACCACACTTTTGGGGTAGAAGAAAAAACAGTTACAAGAATATATTGAGCAGAGTCCTACGGATGGGAAAAAAAAAAAATTAAAAAAAAAAAAACAGATACAAGAACAGATAAATTTTTTAAGACCTGCTCTTTCCTAAGAAGGTTCAAATCATTTGAAAAGATTCTCACTTTCAAGATACACAAGCCTAGGACCCAAGCTGAAAGACTGATTTACTAGACAAAGAGGCAGTCCTGGTATGGAGGTAAAGATGAATTAAACAGTCAGGTCTTGATTACTAAAACTAACGTAGACACAAATAGACAGTTGGCTCTCATTCAACTACCTGTGTTATCATATGGCACTATATAATAACAAATTAAAAAAAAACAAAACACCTCAGAGTCAGCTTGAGAGTTCAGCCAATCTGGCCCACATCAGGTTCCCAATGGGCAAGACGAGTGCCATGCTTCGCCAACTGTATCTTGGCTGGACAGGGACGCATGAAAGGGGGATCCTGCGACTCATCTGACTTCCTGCCCTCACCATCCCTCAACTCCAGTCCCCCTAGAGCTTCGAGCCAGGGGAAGGGATGAGCTCCCTCAACCGGACCAAAGGTCTTCCGCCCAAAGGGGAGTCGAAGCGGAGAAAGGGTAGGGTATCACCTCAATCCAAGACCTGGTCCTCAGTCCTCTGCCTGACGACTTCCCCTCGTCATGTGACCCGACCCGGAGGACTCTGGCCGCCCAGCTCTCACCTGTGGGGATGCCCAGCTGCTTGGAGCCGCGGCCGAAGCCCCGCACCACTTGGCCCCGGCAGAAGTACGGCAGGTGCCTCATGACGCCGTCCGCTTCGGATGCGGGCTGCGGTGCGGGCTGCGGTCCGGTCTGCGCGTCCGGCGGAGCCGCCGTTGAGGCGGTGCCCGGACCCCCGGACCAGCC